GCTATCTGATATAATGCAGGGGTCAGCAATCTTTCAGAAGTGGTGTGCCAAGATTTAACTTATTCACTTCTATTTACGGATCTGTGTGCCGGGGCGGAGGGGAAAGGGGCAGGCTGGGACAGGCTGAGTACAGTAACCATATTTTCTGAATCAGCTGCAGTCTGGGGAGAACAGTTTAATTTAAATGATTAAACAGACTAACTTTCTCATGTTAGTTTATCAAACTTCATTTTAAATAAAGTGAAATATTAACACAAAAGGTTTCAATGTTTTCTTTATTTAAGGCAGTAGTGCGGAACCTTTTTTGGGTCCCACAAAAAACATCAGTTGGGAACCACACAAGTGAGAAGCAAAAAAAACCCTCCTCCTAAAACTCCCAACCCTCACTGATATAGCCCCCAACTGAGACACCTCACTCCTCTGATGCTCCAGCCTTACCGGGTGAAAGGAAGTGACAGGGAGGACTGAGATTCAGGGTTTCCCAAAGGACAAATTTACTTTTCTGGGGTTCCAGAGTTAGTGGATTTTATGGCCCCCCCTTAGGCTCTGGGGTAGGGACAAAAATGAGGAGTTCAGTGTGCGAGACAGGGCTGCCAGCGAGTGGGATAGGGATGGGGTGCAGGATCTGGGAGGGAGTTGGGGTGCAGAAGGGGGAGACGTTGTGAGGTCTAGGTGAGAGGAAGGGAGCAGAAGCAGGCTGGGAGTAGGGTGTCTGGCCAGGTGCAGGGAGCATGAGCAAGGGAGGGTGCAGTGTGTGGCCAGAAGGGAGGGTGCATGAACTACGGTGGATGCAGGAGCAGGGTGGGGGTAGGTGTCTGGCGAGGCCAGGGGACAGGGTGTCTGGTCAGGAGGGAGGGTGCAGGAACAGGCAGGGTGTCAGAGCAACCTGGGGGGGGGGGGTGTTTGGCAGGAGTAGAGGAGCGAGTGGAGGATTCAGGGGTGGGGGGTCTGCGCATGAGGAGGGGACGTTTACCTGGCTTCGCGCCCCCTTGCAGCAACTGCCGCGGTCCTGGGCCAGCTCTGGAGGTGCCGCTGCCACGGCCATGCGGTCCCGATCCAGCTCCAGAGAAGATGCTACCATAGCTACACGATCCCAGGCTGGCCCCTGAGGCCGGAGGCGCGGCTCCTGCTGCCACACAATCCCTGGCCAGCTCTGGGGATGGCGCTGAGGAGCCTCAGCCCCAGTGCTGCCTCCTCCCACCACAGCGTAACCTGCTGTCAGGGAAGAGGGAGGACTCCAGTGGCTGCACAGGGGAGATGTGGCAGGGATGAGCTCCTACCGTGCGTGCCACTGAAAATTGGCTCACGTACCACTTCATAGGTTGCTGACCCCTTTATATAATGCTAAAAACTGGGCTGAATGGAGCAATTCATGAATGCGCCACCAGGAGGCACTAAGCAACTGATACGCTGCTTTTGTTTACCTTTAAATTCTGAATGCGCGGCCCTGTGATTTATTTTTACATTTTATTTTAAATTAAAAGGAAGTCTGAAGGGGATTTCCAGCTTGATTCAAAATGCTTGCATGGTATACCGATTTCCAGATAAAGAAGAGCAAGTAGTTCTGAAACAAAAGACAGGACTATGTAGCACTTTAAAGACTAACAAGATGGTTTATTAGGTGATGAGCTTTCGTGGGCCAGACCGACTTCATCAGATCAAATAGTGGAAGTAAATTGGCACAACCATATATACCAAAGGATACAATTAAAAAAATGAATACATGTGAAAAGGACAAATCAAATTTCAGAACAGAAGGGGGATGAGAGGGGAAGAGGTAAATGTCTGTGAGCTAATGATATTAGAGGTGATAACTGGGGACGCTATCTTTGTAATGGGTAAGATAATTAATGTCTTTGTTATCCTAACCAATTGAGTTATAAGATCAAGAACACATATTCCTGCTCATCCAGAAATATAATCTATGCTATCGTGTGCCGAAAGTGTCCGTCTGCTATGTACATTGGACAAACGTCTCAGACACTTTGCCAAAGAATCAATGCCCACAAAACAGATATTAGACAGGATCACAAAGAAAAAACAGTTTCTTGCCATTTCAACCAGAAAGGCAAAGACCTTTTCACACCAGACTTGAAAGAGAATTCTCTGAACTGTCATTCATGCTTAAATTCGACACTTTATGCCTTGGTCTAAACAAAGACATTGGGCCTGGATTCCCAGCACTGCAAAAATGTCAGAGAACTATATAATGTATGTCCCATGTGTGGCAACAGTTCCTAAGCCTCGCATTTTGGATGGAAAAATAGCTTTACGTGTGATGGGCTGTGATACAGAAGACCCCTTGGGGTTGCCAACTTGGTCATTCAGTTTCCATTCTCGTGGAGGAAGGATGGGTTAGTTAAGGTTGTAAACAGGGATCCCAGAAACCTAGACATCCTGTGTAGCCATGGGCTAGGCTCTACACCTCATTTCCCTATCTGCAAAGTGGGGATAACAGCACTTTGGTACTTCACAGGGGTGTGGGTAGGAGAAATGCATAAAGGCCGGCTCAAGCAGGGGAAGGGGAAGAGTTAAATGGGGCCCAGCTGGAGCCATTCCAGCCCCAGAACTGTACAGGAGAGCCTTCCACCCTTTGAAGGCACTAGAGGCCATGTGGCAACCCCCCCTCTCCGCAGCCAGGTGGGTTTTTTGGAAAGAAAGAGCAGGGAGGAACCGAATGGAGACTGACACGGGCCCAGCAGTGGTAGAAAGCTGTCCGAGCAGGGGCCAATGGCAATGGATGGGGTGGTCAGGTTGTTTTCTACAGTCCTCACTCTGAACTTTCTCCTCCCGGTGCTGCCAGGCTGTGTGCTCCAGACCCTCCTTTCCTCTCCCTCCCTCCCTCCTTCTAACACAACTGCATGGAGAGGTCTCAAGAAAAGCAAAAAATCATTGCACTCACATGACATTTGCCACCATCATCTTGTTGCGCTTTCTGTCTCCTTCCACTGCCCTCTGTCTATTTTGTCTCTTTAGAATGTAAAGAACCAGGGGAGGGCTATAGCTACATTTTTATAGGGCCCACCTCCCTGGGGCCCATTCTAAGTCAGACCCTAAGCACAACCATAAGCATAACAAACAATAATAGATAGAATTACCATGCTTCTGTGGATGCAAGTAAAACCACGTGTCTCGACTGCCTCTTATTATTGTCTCGCCATTCTATTCTGGTGTATCATTTACAAAGAAAATGCATGATCCTGAGGTTATTTAATGCTACCGAAAGCGATCACTGTAGCATTCAGGCTGACTTCCAAAGGATAAAGACCCAAGTTCCCATTAAAATTTATAGAAATTAGGTATCTAGAAAATCTTAGCATTAAGGCATTCGCACTGATTTGTCCTTCTGATTTTGAATCTCAGATTCACAACATTCTTATATTTGAACAGTGGAAGCCAGAGGCATGAATTCAACCTTGCTGTCTGGCTTAATCATAGTGATTCAAATGTGGCCTTGGCGTAAGCACATTAGAGTCAATGGGGTTACAATAGGGATTTATTTGGCCCTGGATTTTATGGTT